AGGAAGACATCCAAGAGGCTTCCAAAGGGCTGGCCTTTCAGATTTAAAAAATGTTAAGCATTTTTTTAAAAGTCACAAATGAGTAACATGCTTGTTATAAAAATTTAAGCAATAAAGAAAAAAATATTGAAAGGAAAAAATCTTTCCCTTGTTCCTTCCAAGCCCACTTAAAAATAGAAATAATGGATAGATGTGTGTCCTTCCATCGAGCTGGATACTTAACTGCAGGCTCCAGGAGGGCGGGGATGGCATCTGCCTTACTCATGGTTATATCCCTGGAGGATGCCCAGGAACTATTTGCCGATTGAGTTATGCATACATAGTAATCACACATAAGAGCTCACAGATAGTTGAAAAGGGACTCATGCTACATATGTTTTTTTCTTGCACCTTCCTTGTTTTTTTCCACTCAAAAATCTGTCATGGAATCCTTCCATGTATTGGTTCCTAATTTATCCATTCCCCTTAAGATCGGTTGAATTTTATCTCCCTCAAAAGCTACATTGAAGTCCTAATCCTGGGTCAGGTGTGGTGGCTCACGCCTCATCCCAGCACCCTGGGAGGCTGAGGCAGATGGATCACTTGAGGTCAAGAGTTTGAGATCAGCCTGACAGACATGGTGAAACCTTGTTTCTACTAAAAACGCAAAAATTAGCTGGGCATGGTGGCAGACACCTGTAATCCCAGCTACTCAGGAGGCTGAGGCAGAAAAATTGCTTGAACCAGTAAGCTGAGATCGTGCCACTGAATTCCAGCCTGGTGAGAGAGCAAGATCCTGTCTCCAAAAAAAAAAAAAAAAAAAAAAGAAGAAGTCCTAATCCCTGGTGCTTATTAATGTGAACTTATTTGGAAATAGGGTATTTGCAGATGTGATCAGGTTAAGATGAGGCTATACTTGATTAGTGTGGGTCCTAATCCAATATAGCTGGTGCCCTTATAAAAAGAGACAGAGATTGCAGCCATAAAAAAGAATGAGTTATGGCCTTTGCAGGGACATGGATGGAGCCGGAAGCCATCATTCTCAGCAAACTAACACAGGAACGGAAAACCAAACACGGCATATTCCAACTCATAAGTGGAAGTTGAACAATGAGAACACATGGAAACAGAGAGGGGAACATCACACACTGGGGCCTGACAGAGGTTGAAGGGCAAAGGGAGGGAGAGCATTAGGACAAATACTTAATGCATATGGGGCTTAAAACCTAGGTGACAAGTTGATGGGTGCAGCCAACCACCATGCCACATGTATACCTATGCAATGAACCTGCATGTTCTGCACAGGGATGCCAGAACTTAAAGTAAAATTTAAAAAAAAGAGAGATAACAGGGAGGATGGCACACAATGACAGAGGCAAAGATTGGTGTGATGCAGCTATGAGCCGAGAAACGCGGAGGACAGACAGCCACCTGTCACAATCTAGAAGCAAGGAAGGCGTTTTCCCAGAGCCCAGGGAACAGGACCCTGCTGACACCTTGATTTGGGACTTCTGGCCTCCAGATTGCAAGACAACCCATTTCTGTTGTTTTAAGCCCCTCAGTTTGTGGCACTTTATTACAGCAGCCCTAGAAAAGGAATCCCTGCCTCTTCAGGTGTATTTCAGTTGCTTCCAGTGTTAAGGTATCGCAGCAGTGAAAACTGCTTCCATGGACTGTTTGGAGAGGGGAGCCCTAGGTTTTTTAATTTAATTTTTGAATTTTTATTCTTTTGAGAAAGGATCTCACTCGGTTGCCCAGGTTGGAATGCAATGGCATGATCTTGGCTCACTGCAACCTCTGCCTCCCGGATGGCCTTAGCCACCTCAGTAGCTAGGACTAACAGGCGTGTGCCACTCCGCCCAGCTAATTTTTGTATGTTTAGTAGAGATGCAGTTTTGCCATGTTGGCCCGGCTGGTCTATGAATTCATGACCTCAAGTGATCTGCCTGCCCCAGCCTCCCAAAGTGCTGGGATTACAGGTATGAGCCACTGTGTCCAGCCTTTTTTTTTTTCCTTTTTTTCTTTTCTTTTGAGACTGGGTCTCAATCTGTTGCCCAGGCTGGGGTGCAGTGGTGTGATCATGACTCACTGCAGCCTCAACCTCCCTGACTCAAGGATTCCTCCCAGCTTAGCCTCCTTAGTAACTGGGACCACACGTGCATGCCAGCATGCCTGGCTAATTTATATATATATATATTTTTTTTGTAAAGACAGGGTTTTGTCATGTTGTCAGGCTGGTTTTGAACTCCTAGCCTTAGGTGATCCTCCCACTTAGGCCTCCCAAAGTACTGGGATTATAGGTGTGAGTCACTGCGCCTGGCCCTGAGTTTATTCTTGTCTCCAGGAAACCCTGGGAGTAATCACAGACCCTAGCCTTCGGGCCTTAGCATCAGCTCATAACTTTGGTAGCGTTGCCAGCTAAGATATAGGACACCTGAGTCACATTTGGGACATGCTTATATTACACAATCATTTGTTGTTTGAAATTCCAGTTTAACAGGGCTTCTGTAGTTTTCTTTGGTAAATCTGACAACCCTAAACCTCAGTCTCCACCATTGTAATCCTGAGCAGTTGCTGTGAGCAGCCTACACTATCCCATGAAGAGCCTGAGGTGCCTGGTTTTCTGCCTGGTGACTGTGGGAGCTCTGGAAGATCTCTCCTCGTCCTGGATCTCTGATTATCTCTCAGCATCCTGAGTGTTCTTGGTGGGACCTGGATGAGCTGCAGCACCTGCCTCCCCCAGCAGTGCTCAGCCAAGCCTCTCTTCCACCCATCTCAGCAGCAGTGTGCTCATTTGCTCCACCCCACCTTTGCCCTGGCAGTGCCTGTTCATCTCCCTCCAGCCTGCTCTCCCCCTCTCTACTCATCCCTAAGGGGCTCAGGCAGGACAGATGTTGGCTTGGCCCACAAGGGTCCAGAGAGCAGAACCAACTCATCAGCTCTAGGTGTGCTGAGTGGGACCGGAGAAAGAAGGGTGCCATGTGAGCTTGTGAAGACAGTGGGCAGTGCCTCCCAAACTTGCCCTATTTTGAAAATTGCCTAAGGGCTGGTTGGAAATGCTATTCCTGGTTGGAATCAGAGATCTCCTGGGAGGGGAATCACTGTAGCTCAGGGACCTGGCTGAGTCTGTAGGCTCGGGGGAGGTCCCTGCAAGGAAGTGCTGTCCAAGTCGGGGTCTGAAGGCTCATCAGGAGTCAGGCAAGTGAGGCTTTGCGGGGCAGAGCAGGGATCCAGGAAAAAGCATAGCAAATGCCTTAATGGGAGAAGAAGAGCCTGGCCTGTCTCAGGCCAGAGAAGAGGCCACTGTGGTTAGAGTATGGAGAGCTAACAGAAAGGTGAGTTGAGCTTAGAGAAAGTAGGTGAAGCCACATCTGGTCAGGCCTTGTTGGTTGGGCTGGTTAAGAATTCAGTCTAAAGACCTGGCTCAGTGGCGCAGGCCTGCAATCCCAGAACTTTGGAAGGCCAAGGTGGCGGATCACGAGGTCAAGAGATCGAGACCCTTCTAGCCAACATGGTGAAACCCCATCTCTACTAAAAATACAAAAATTAGCTGGGCGTGATGGCGTGCACCTGTAGTCCCAGCTACTCAGGAGGCTGAGGCAGGGGAATTGCTTGAACTCAGGAGGCAGAGGTTATACTGAGCAGAGATCAGGCCACTGCACTCCAGCCTGGGCAACAGAGTAAGACTCTGTCTCAAAAAAAAAAAAAAAAAAAAAAAGAATTCAGCCTAAAGCAATGGTAATGTCCCAGGGTGGGCAACAACTGAACCTTTTTCAAAGGCGAGTCCTGAGCTGCCTCCCTCCTCTGACATTTGGCCCTTGTTGCCCCCATCTCACCCCCTATCCCGCCTCCAATCTGGCAAAGAGCCACTCACTTACCCAGCGGGGACTTCCCACTAAAGCCTGGTGGAGGTGGGGGACGAAGGGGCTGTTGCTCGTGAGAAATGGGCGTGCGCACTCACTAACAGACTTAGAAAGTTTCCACATCAGACAGTTAACTTGAGAAAATACCTTTTGTTATTGAGAAGATGCTATAAATGTTCCAGTATGTGGTATGCCTACCACGCATCTTTGTGTAATCCCCTCCCCTGAGTGGAGGCTGGACCTGGCCACTTGCTTCTAATGAATACAATATGGTAAAAGTGGAGGAATGTCACTTTTGAGGTTAGACTCTACAAAACTGGGACTCCCCTACTGCTCGCACTCTTCAAGACTTCTTTCTTATTTGTTCTGATGAAGCAGCTGCCATGTTGGGGGCTGCCCCAGGGAAAGGCCAACGTGCTGAGGAACAGAGGGCATAGGCAGTGACGGGCATCAGGTCCTTGAGTCCAAGGGTCCACTGAATACTGCAGCAGCTGCTTGAGTGATCTTGGCGTTGGGTCCCCAGTTGAGCCTTGAGACGACTCCGGCTCAGCTGACACCTCGATTGCAGCCTGCAGAAGTACTGAAGTGGAGGGCTCAGCTAAGCTGCACCAGGATCTGTAACCCAGAGAAACTGTGAGGTGATAAACGTTGTTGTTTGTAGACACTGAGCTTTAGGGTACTTTATTATGCAGCAGGAGGTGACTAGTACAAAGTGTAATTTGGAGAAGACCAGCCATACCTGTACCATCCTAAAGTAGATATTTGTATAAGTTGAAATCATGGCGGGTGCACTAATTTTGTGCACTTAAAAAAAAATCACATATCACCGGGCGTGGTGGCTCCCACCTGTAATCCCAGCACTTTGGGAGGCTGAGGTGGGCAGATCACCTGAGGTCGGGAGTTAGAGACCAACCTGACTAACATGGAGAAACCCCGTCTCTACTAAAAATACAAAATTAGCCAGGCGTGGTGGCGCATGCCTGTAATCCCAGCTGTTCGGGAGGCTGAGGCAGCCCGGGGCAACGAGAGCAAAACTCCGTCTCAAATAAAATAAAATAAAATAAAATAAAAAAAAAGAAAGGAAAAAGTATCGTTAGGGTCCATGATCTATGTATGTATCAGGGTCTGGTCAGAAACCAGAAACCACACCAGATACACTAACACAATTTAATATGAAGAATTAGATAGCTTAGTCACAAGAACAGTGTGAAAGGTGAAAATCATCAATAACCAATCATCAAAATCACTCTCAGAAAATGTCATACATCATCACGAACTGGGGCCTTGGAAACTCAAAACCCAAGAATTATTGAGGTTATTGTTTTTGTTGCATTTAAGCTTCTCTTCTGTTCCTTTGGGGCATCAGAGGCTAAGTTTATTTTGAGCATGAACAAAGAGACTTCTCTCTCCTTGACAAGCGTGATTTGTTGAATTGGCTAGTGAGGTGGGAGTGTGGTGGTGATACACTGTGCAGCAGAAGCATCCTCCGAGTGCCCATTCCCATCACAGTTAACACAACTGTGCTTTTCCAGGCTGGACTGTCCATTGTAATGATGCCCCAGAGTATTAAACCACTTCCTTATTGTCCTTCCAGTTTTTGACCTTTAAAGAAAGACTTCAGGGCACGCATGCATGCAGATAACACTTGGCTTCTGTTTGGATAATTTCCTTGGAATAATTTCCCAGGAATGAGATTATAGGGTCAAAGGGGAAGGAAGAGCTTTAGGCCTTTTGCTAATAATTGCTTTACTGCTTTCCAAAGGCACTACACCAACCCAGCATCAACAGTTTATAGCGGATGAGGGGTCAGCTTCAGGGCACCGTTATTCACTCTTAGGAAATCAGCTTCTAGGTCCTTCAACAACCACCCAAAAGGGCCTTGATCTGTGAGAAGTAGAGTCCGGCAGAGAGAATCCTGGGCTGAGAAGTAGGATGTCTGAAAGTCCAGCTTCAAGGCAGCAGAGTAGTTTAACAGTGTGACCTATGGATAACAGGTCCTGGGTTTGAATTCCTACTTCACCACTGAGTGACCCTGGGCAAGTTACTCAGTTTTTCTGATTCATTTGTTTTTTCATCTATAAAGCCAGAATGATAGCAGTATTGAACCTTGCAGAGGTGAGAGGAAGATTAAACCAGTCGTGACATGTGAAGTGCTTAGACCAGGCACCAGTGCTTGGTAAATATTTAGTAAATACGAAGAGTGAGGGTTATTACCATTTCTATTATTTAGACGGAGCCGCCATCTCCATCAGCCCTGCTTCTCCAGTGGCTGACCACTTCCTCTTCTCGTTTCCATGCGAGACCCCACCCTGCCTCTTCAGTTTTCCCTGGGATCTTCTTTTCTCTTCAAGATCAAGTTTAGGTAGCAGTCGTGGCTTTGAGACATTGTGTTTGATGGTCTTTGAATGCCCCCTTGTGGACGGCTGGCTCTCTTTTACTCTCTTTCAGCTAAGGAGGAAAACCGGCCCTGCGCAAGTGTGTGTGTGTGTGTGTGTGCGCGCGCGCGCGCGCCGGGGTGGGGGAAAAAATAGAGGACGCCTCGGCGTTTGCAGACAAAACAGGAAATAGCACGTCATGGCATCTTTCTTGCTGGCTGGGGATGGATGGGTGTATGGGTCTCTTATACGTACATAAACACGGAGGGGAGCTGCATGTGTAAATGTGTGTGCGCTTGATACCATTCTCCTTGTCATTGGGGCCTCTCACTGGGTCCTACTGAGACAATGTGATTAATGTGATTTGAAAAATGAAAGCCCTGTGTGCACGCGAGGCCATTGTTATGTAGAATGGCACGTATAACCATTTGGTTCATCCCTTCACTCATTCGGACATTCAGTCCCACAGTTGTTTATTGAGTACTTACTATGTGCCAGGTCTCCTGAGGTCTGAGGACCAAGACAGAATCTGTTTCCATCCTCTCACAGTCCAGTGGGGGAGGCAGACAGGTGAGTAAACCACTGAGTACAGAGGAGTGGCAGAGCTGCTGTGGCGGGGGAAGGAAAGCTGCCGAGAGGGGGTGATGTCTGAGCTGAGCTATGAACTGTGAGTGACCTATCCTCTCCTGGCTTTGGGGCAGAGGGCTTGGTACAAAAAGCACTGGTGGGGTTTTGGAAGTGCAGGCTCTAACCCAACTCCTTGAGCAAATCCTTTTTTTTTTTTATGGGCTAGAGTTTCCTCCTGGACTAAGCCAAGGGGTTTGGCTATGAAACTCACAGTTTCCATCAACTTTGATGTTTTCTGACCTTTTATTCCCTTAGCCTGAAGAATTTTCTATTTTCTTTTCTTCCACTTGTCTTTCATGCCGCATCCTCTTCCCTAAAGAAATGAAAACCAGACTGAGGGATAGAAGCAGTGAAACATTGATATACACATGTAGGGCTCACGTGCGTGCATGTGCGCGCATGTGCGCGTGCACACACACACACACACACACCTCTCTCTCTCTCTCTCTCTCTCTCTACCCCCTCCATTCCCCACCCCTGCTCTGCTGGAATCCTCCAGCTGCCTCCCAGATCAGAGTGGCCTGACAAGGGAGGGGTGGAGTGTGCAGGCAGAGTGGAGGCGAGAGCCCGGCAGACCCAGTTTCTTTTATGCTTGGCCACTCAGGCAGGTCACCTTGGGGAGGTCATTGAGCTTCCCAGAGCCTGCTTCTAGCTCAGCAGAGTACATACCCACCTGGCAGGGCTCTCGTGATGATAACCCTATATGTGAAGTGCCTACCCCTTCCACTGACTCTGTAGGACCTAGCAGGCTCTCGGAAAATGAAAGCTGAAAAGTAATGATATTACAAAATATCTAGTGTGGTGTGGCTCATGCCTGTAGTCCCAGCACTTTGGGAGGCTAAGGCGGGTGGATCACTTAAGGTCAGGAGTTCAAGACCAGCCTGGTCAACATGGTTCACCATGTCTCTACCAAAAATACAAAAATTAGTTAGTATGGTGGCAGGTGTCTGTAATCCAGGCTACTCGGGAAGCTGAGGCAGGAGAATCGCCTGAATCTGGGAGGTGAAGTTTGCAGTGACTGGAGATCGTGCCATGGCACTCCAGCCTGGGTGACATAGTGAGAATCCATCTCAAAAAAAACAAAACAAAACAAAAAATCTAGTGCAGATCAGACTCTTGTTTCTGCAGGAGGGAAAGGTGTGATCTTTCTTCCGCTCCGATCTTCCCAGTGACAATGGTCTGGGGAGGATATCAGACATGCACCAAGCTCACTGTCGGTGGTGGGACACTCTGGTTCCGGTCAGAATGCAGTTTATCACTTGGTCACTTTGGCCAAGTTACCTAACCTTTCTAAGCCTCAGTTTTCTCATCTATAAAACAGGGCCTTTAAAGTAGCTCCCTTGTGGAAGTACTGTGAGGATTAACTGAGATAATAGTAAAAACACTTCATGCAGTTCCTGGTATATAGTAAATCGATAGCCACCTGTATTGGTCAGGAGACGCTAACCGGTGTAACAAATAGACCCAAGAATGTGTGATGGCTTAGAGACAATGGAAGCTTGTTTCTTGTCCCTCTGATGGTCTCAGAAAATACCAGGTTAGCAGTAAGGCTCATCTAGACACCAGGCTTCTGACAGCTCTACCTTCTTTTCTTTTTTTGAGATGGAGTCTCGCTCTGTTGCCCAGGCTGGAGTGCGGTGGTGCGATCTTGGCTCACTGCAGCCTCCACCTCCCGGGTTCAAGTGATTCTTCTGCCTCAACCTCCCAAAAAACTGGGACTCTAGGTGCGTGCCACCATGCTAATTAATTAGCTCTGCCATCTTTAACTGGTAGCTTCCAAGATCACTTCGGCCATCGGGCTCTAGCTAGTGGGTGGGGAAGAGAGTGGAGAAGGCACATCAGCTGCTTAACTGCCTTGGCCCAGAAGTGCCACTTCTGCTCACATTCCATGGGTGAGAACAAGTCACGTGGCCCCATCTTAATGCCACGGGGGCTGGGAAATGTCATCCCTGGCTGGGCAGTGTCAGATCTCAGTGTCAAATCCACGTGCTAGGCAAGGGGAGGCAGGAGCCTTTGGTGACAGAGATGTCTATTCCCATGATTGTTGCTGCTATTTCCATCCAGGGCAGAGTGATAAGCCCTGGATTGGGGGTGGTGGTGAAAACACAGAGAGAGTCTAAATAGTGGGGCGATCGGGGATCAGGCAGTGCTGCCCAGGGAAGATAGCATCCGGGGGGCTTGGAGAGAGGCAGGAGTTCCACAGGAGGGGATGGAGAGAGCAGGGAGGGGAGGGCCCTGTGAGCTGAGCGAGTCCCATGAACGGCCAAGAGGCAGGAAAGTCCAGGCTGGAGGAGAGTCCAAGGCGGGAAGGGGTGGAGAGGTGTGCTGGCGGCCCACCCGGAAGGCCTGGAACATCAAGATAAGGGTGTGGAGATGCAGTCACGCATGGCCTCTCTGCAGTGGAGTCCAGGGCAGTGGGTGGTCGTGGGATAGGAGTGCCAGGTGGGGAGGAGGAGGTGAGGAGGGAGAAAGAGAAAGTGGGTGGGGGAGGAAAAGTCTGAGTTTCACAGAGGAGAAGCTGGAAGGGGCAGGAGGAAAGGGGGCTTGCCTGACCTCTTGCTCTTCCTTCTCCCTGAGGTTCCCAGCTCCTCTGGGGCTCCTGTTGTCACCTGGCAGCCTCCTTCCTGGAGGTCCACCCCCTTAGGCCCCATTGCTCCATCGCCCTCCATGCAGGGAGAGGCTTGATCTCCTCTTTCTGCTTTGTTCTCCTTCCAGGAAGGAAGTGGCTCCAGATGCCGTGGGTGGGACATTCCTTGGCTCTGCTCACTGTTGCCAGATTTCTCATGATTCCCAGTGACAGAGCTGGCATCTCTAATCAGCCTCGGAGACGGGCAGAGTCTTGCTCAAGAACACCCTGCACCTCAGGAAGCCAGAGGCTCTTTCTGAGCTGTCTCAGCCCTCTGAGTGCAAGACCCACCTCCAGGGAGATGCTCTGGCAAGGCGATTCCCCCCCAGGCCTGCTGGGCACCTACCGTGCACCCGGCACTGTGACAAGACGGCTCCTGCACTCAGAAGCTTATCACAGACTGGGGGAGTGAGGTCTTACTTAGAGAACTATAAAGTACTGGGAAGTACCACAAAAGAGGCATAGACCTATGGGGAACCAAAGAAAGAATTCCTGTTAAAATAGTACTGGGAGGAAGTGAGATTTGTGATGGTTCATGAAGAGAGCATGGGATTCTGACAGGTGAAGATGGCTGGGAGGTTATTTCAGGGAGAAGGGAGAGCCATGCAAAGGTGGAGGAAGGAGGTTGGGCATGGGGGCTACGCCTGTAACCCAGCACTTTGGGGGGCTGAGGCAGGCGGATCACCTGAAGTCAGGAGTTCGAGACCAGCCCGACCAACATGGTGATACCTTGTCTCTACTAAATACAAAAAATTAGACAGGCATGGTGGTGCATGCCTGTAATCCCAGCTACTCGGGAAGCTGAGGCAGGAGATTTGCTTGCACCTGGGAGGTGGAGGTTGCGGTGAGCTGAGATTGCACCACTGTACTAAAAAAAAAAAATGGTGGAAGAAGGAAAATGCAGGCCTCTTTAAAGAAATATAAACTGGTCCAGCTTAGCTGAAATAAAAGGAGTGGAGGGAAGTTGCGGAAGTGTGAAACTTTCACAGGGTTCCCACAGGGGTTGTTAGTGGGGGGTCAGATGGAGGAGAAGGGCTTATGTGGGAGGTTTGTGCTTCATTGACTGGGCAGAGGAGAGATAGCAGGGCACTGGTGGCCTACTCTTTATTCTTCCTAGCTGCCCTCACCCTGTGGTGTGATCCTATAACCTTCAGGGCAGTGCAGAGTCGGGCCCAGGTGGCACTGGCCATATTTAGGGACCAGAGGACTAGGAAGCAGGGAGGCCCTGCCTGGTCTCAAGAATTAAGTCAGGGGCCAGGAGAGGTGGCTCATGCCTGTAATCCCAGTGCTTTGGGAGGCCAAGGCGGGCGAATCACTTGAGATCAGGAGTTCGAGACCAGCCTGGCCAACATGGTGAAACCCCATCTCTACTAAAAATGCAAAAATTCGCTGGGTGTGGTGGCACACACCTATAATCCCAGCTACTGGAGAGGCTGAGGCAGTAGAATCACTTGAACCTGGGAGGAAGAGGTTGCAGTGAGCTGAGATAGCGCCACTGTACTCCAGCCTGGGTGACAGAGCAAGACTCCATCTCAAAAAAAAAAAAGAAAGAATCGAGTCAGATTTACCTTTAAAGGACCATGGTCCTGGTGGAAGTATCAGGAGAGACCTGGGCTTGCCTCTTGGGTTCTGGCTGTGGGTCCTGGACACGTTGGTAAACCTCTCTAGGCCTTGGTTTCCTCAATGTGGCGTGAAATAGCAGCACCCACTTCTTATGTTGAGTGGAGCAGCTGCCCTGGCTTATTTATAGTTGTGCTTAATAAATAGTTTTTCACTTGGCATGGGTAGGGGGAGGGGAGAGGAGCAATGAATTGGTGCCGCTGACAGTTCAGCCTGGAGGGGGCTGCGGCTGCCCGGGTCTTGCGTCTGAAATGTTTGTAAGCTCAGTGGTGACTGGAAGCACTGCCCCCTCCTCAGGCCTGGCTGCCTCCATCACCTGCTCTCCTGTCCACCTGGAGGGATGGTTACAGGACTGAGGTCTGTGTCATCCTGACCACTGTCATGTCACAGGTTGCTCCAATCAGGCTGGCCGGAGCTCTGCAGCAGCAAAGGCTGTGGGCTCTTGGGAATGGAATGTGAGTGCCCGGGAGGTTGGCGGCCTTGGGCCTCATGCCCAGGCTGGCACAGACACTTGGTCCAGAAGAGGGGCAGGAATCCAGGTCACCAGCGGGTTCCACACAGGTTGGCTTGCCATCTCCCTTTCCTGTGGTTAATCTTCCCTATGAGGGGAGAGAGAGAGAGAGAGAGAGAGAGAGAGAGAGAGAGAGAGAGAGAGAGAGAAAGAGTCTGTAGGACAGAGCTCATTTTGCCAGTTTTTCCCAAAGTCCATCTGGAGGGGCGTGTCTGAGCTGCCCACTTCCTTCGGCCAGTCTTGGAATGAGAGCAGATGACTCATGGCCTCACCTCTCTAGACCTGCCAGGGAGTGGGAGACTCCGACAGATCTTGGTTCTAATCCTGGCTCTGCCACTTATTAACTGGGTAACCTTATGCACGTTATTAACCTCTTCCAGCCTCAGTTTCCTTGAGTGTAAAATGGGAATAACAGCACCAACTCACAGTGTTGTGAGAACTGAATGAGCTAATGGTTAGTTAGCATAGTGACCAACATATATTGGGAGCCCCTAAATAACAGTTTTCCCTTCCTTTCTCCCTCCCTCCCTCCTTCCCTCCTTCCCTCCTTCCCTTCCTTCCTTCCCTCCTTCCTTCCTATCTGGGGAATGCGATGGCTGCCTTGAGGGCACAGATCTGCGATGAGAGAGCTGTGTGTAGGTGGAGGCAGCCTCCTTCCTCATAGAACCCCTCCGAATCCCAGGCCGGAAGACTGGAGAATAACAGGAAATTGGTGACCTCCAAGCTTTGCACACTGGCAGTACCCAATAGCCAATGAGATTTATTGGAGGCACCATTACTGTGACAAGGGACTTAGTGATCTGAGCCCGGGGTACAGAACTCTAGCGTAGGGATGGGAGCCATCACAGCACTGACCACCTCTGGGGAGAGTGTCCTCTGGCGCCCCTTGCCTTAGGGCCCGAGTGAGGCTGAGACAAGCAAGTGTGGCAGGTAGAGGAGGGTGGGAGAGGTGGAAATAGCTGGGCTGGGACCAGTATCTCCTGTCAAAACTTAACAGTATGGATGTCCCAGCCGCTCTCTGCCAGCCAATCGACCAAGAGCTAGTAGCTAATTCACACTAAAATGTTAATAGCAATAAAGGAATCAAGATATTCATACCCCAGGGGTGTTGATAGCTGTTAGATGGCCGCAGGTTCTACTCCGGCCTTCTCCTCTCCCAGCAAGCGAGCGCCTGCGGCTCAGCTGGAGACGGACTGCTGCAGAGAGTAGAGGCCCACATTTTGGCTCTAGTCTGTGGCTGGGAATCCAATCCAGGGGACACAAGCCAAGGTATAGGAGGCAGGCAGAACTGGAGAACAGGGGTCACTTGGTGACTGCCATCAGCTCCCAGCACGTGGGCGAGCCAGTTGGGCTTACAAGCTTAGGTCAGACAAGATGAGACTCTCCCTGTGTCCCACTGCCCACCACTGCCCTTCGCTTCGAGAAAGGCAAGGTCTAGCGGGTGGAGGGGAGGTGGCATCTGGGGCAGGGGAGGGCATGGAGGGCCTCCACACACAGAGGAGCACAGCTGTTGCCTCCTGCTCTTCTTCACCTGGCCAGCTAAAACAGGAGCTTAGCAGCGCATCAGCCTTAGCTGACATGTGGCTGGAGGAAAAAGGCAGTGGTGGCCGTGGTGGGTTGGCCACAGCCTTTCTTGGCCATGGCTGACCAGCTCTTTGGGCAGAATGTAGCTCTCGGGAGGCCTGGGCCCGGGGTAAGCCCAGGGTGAGGGAGTAGGGAGTCTCAAACTTCCTGGGCTAAAAATCAGCTGAGGACCTTGTTAAGATGCAGGTTCAGATTCCTTAGGCTGCGGTTTTTCACAAGCTCCTGGGTGGTGCTGAGGCTGCAGGTTCAGGCCACACTCTGAGTAGTGTGTGTGGATGCCTGGGAGTGAGAGGCTCAGCGAAATACTCTCCTGACTGTGACCCCGGTGTCCCTTCTGGCTCTGACACTTTGTACATCTCCAAGACCGCAAGTCGAGTGGGTGGCCGGGGCGAGGAGCTCCTCTGCTCAGCGGCCACTGGCAGAGGAAGGCGGCTGCCCTTTGATGGTGATGAAAAATAAGAACAGTTGCCAACCACTGAGAACTTACTTTGAGGACGCCTCGTCACTTGTATATGGCAGAACATGGCTCTGAGATGTTTTTGAGGCTCGAGGGACCCTGGGTTTGGAGAAAGTTCAGGGAGGGGAAGCACTGGTCTATTTGGGAATTATTCCCGTGCCAGATCTCTCTGCCTCTTTTGGGGATCAAGGGTCTTATCAATCCCTTTCTCGGTGCCCAGCACAATGCCAAGAGTCCGGGGGAAAGCAGACACCCCACAGATACCTAGACATGCCAGAGGCACTGCCCCTGGGAAGGGGAGGCACATCAGGCCTGGGGTTCTCACCCAGGGAGGCGTCGGGAATTCAGGGCTCTGATCAACCGCAGGTAAACACTGAACTGTCTACCCGAGGAAGCTCCCTGGCATGGCTGGTTCCTGTCGAGGAGACAGAGAAAGTTTCCACTGAGCGTGTGTGTGTGTGTGTGTGTGTGTGAGCACATGTGTGGGAGTGCATGAGTGTGCGTGCATGTGCATGTGTGTGCATGCGTGTATGTGTGTGCACGTGTATGTGTCTGTGTGTATGTGTGCACGCACGCATGCTGAGGTGCTCTATTATCTTTTCCTCTCTGCAGAAAATCAGGTCAGTGGTTTGATTGTTGTGCACTGCAAGGTGGAGTGGGGAGGTGGCTGAGCCGCTGAGGCTGGGCTACAGCATGAGGGCCAGGTCTGGCCAGGAAGCAGTGGCAGTGGCTGTCAGTCTGGGAAGAGGGTGCTGCCTGCCACGTCCTGTTTCCCTTCCAATGTTCCTCTCCCTTTCTTGGGGGCCTTGGCTGTCCTGATGGACGCTGTTGAATAATGCAGGGACCGTGGCTGAAGAGAGGCAGTCACTCTGCCCTGTGGCTCGGGTCATGGTGGAGGAGGGGGAGGTGTGGGCATGGCCCCCCCCATGGGTAGTAGTAACAACAGCCAGGCTCTGCTGTCATATTTTCACACCGCGTCCTCACCTCGCCCACAGCGCCCTGGAAGCATGAGAGCAAGTGTTATTGTTGACGGCGCTGAGAAAGAGAGAGAGAGTGGGGCCAAAGAGCAAGTTCAAAGGCATCCCAGTTCTCACCCTGGCCTCAGATTCCCTTTCTGGGGTCGCTGAGGGCCCCTAGGCCACCTCAAGGGATTGGGGGAACACTTTGTCCATTGCCCCTCTGGGGTGGAAGGAGGCTGGAGCGTGGCAGCCACAGCCTGGGCCTCCGTTGGGTCCTTGGCTTTGGGTCTCTCACAGGCGGCCATCAAGGGTTTGGCTGGGGCTTTGATCATCTCAAGGCTGGACCAGGGAAGGACCTGCCTCCCCAGGCCCTAAGTTTGAATGGGGTGGGGGACAGGGGGCAGCATTCTTCTGGCACCGGCAGCCCCTCCTCCGTCCTCTTCACATCCTGTCCTTAAAGTTCATTGTCGCCTCGTCCACTAATCTCCTCCCCCTCTTTCCGCCTCCATCTTCCCAAGTCTTTCTTGGCTCTGCTTTTGCTTCCACGGCTGTTTCCTCACGGAGGCTCAGACAATAGAGGCTAATGATCCAACTGCTGAGAGCACACCCTCCCCTCGTAGCCAGAAATCATCTGTTACCCATCGACGCCCTCCCTGGGGCCCCCGGCTGCCAGACTGAGACCTTTTCCTTCCCTCCCACTTCTTACTGGAAATGAGCCTCCATCCCTCCACTCCCCCTACCCCACAGACCTTAGGGAGGTACAAGGACTCTTTCCCCACTCCACCCATCTGCTGGGTACTCTTCTGCAGAGGAGAGGCAGGGGCTGGTGCCCATGACCTCCGGAGGCCCTTCTGGGAGCACAGTCTTGCTGTGACCTCTCTAGGTCAGCTCAACACCCCATGCTGGACAGAGACCCAGAGAACAGCTCAGCATGAGGTTACCAGGCTGACGTTGCACAGGCTGTGCTGGAAATAACAGAGTGCCTTGGAGGGAAAAACAAACGGGTTTCAGTTCCCATGGAAACAACATCTATTTGCAGAGGTGCCTGCGTCAGAGCTTGGGACCCTGTGCTTGGCAGGGATGGGGTGGGCATGAGAGGGCAGGGTCATCTGTTGACTGTCTGGGACTCTTCCAGGACAGGGTCTGAAAGGGTCCTGACCTTTAGCCATGACAAACAGCTCTTCCCACAGAGGGGTCTGTCTGCCTGGGCATGTCTCTGCAACGCTGAGGTTTTTGGGTGGATTTTAAATGTATGAGTCAAGGCTGTGGGAAGACCCCACATTCACCATTCACCTATGACCTGCCAGGCACTGGGCTAGGCCAGCCAATCAGGAGTTGGTCTGTACCTGCTAAATTTGGGGACTAAATCCTCCCTTCCTGGGAGGAGCCTTGGCCAGACAGGGGCAAAGTGGGGACCTGCCAGGGACCAGGGGACATGGGATGACACAGACTCAGCAATGCCAGTCCCCTTGCTCTGTAACCAAAGCAGATGCCTTCTGTCCTCGTCTGTCACAGGAGACTAATTCCTCATCTCATGCAGAAAGATGAGCCCTAAACTGTTCACTGAGGTCCCCACAGCAGAGGCAATTATTCCAG